GGAGAGATTGAGGCGAGTCCCTTGTATGGCCGGCGCCCCTTGCTGTTCACAGGGACACTGGTCTTTGCATCCTTCTCTATTTACTTACAGAGATTTTGTATGTGAGCCGGACCACTTGTATCATTTTCTTACATTTTTTTTTAAAAAGTCTTTATTGAGCTTGTTACAATATTGCTTATGCTTTATGCTTTTTCATTCTTTGGCTGTGAGGCATGTGGGATCTTAGTTCCCTGACCAGGGATAGAACCCACACCTGCACTGGAAGAGGAAGTCTTAACTGCTGGATCACCAGGGAGGTCCCCATTTTCTTGCTTTTTATAGTCTTTTCTCGGTGAGACTTTTCCCATCTCAGATGCCTCTTCACAAGAGCCAGCTGACTTCTGATTAAAAGGAGAAATAGACAGAGCCGGCCTCCCTGGCCCACTGTCTTGCTCAGACGTGGCTCAGAGCGTTCCCAGTGTGGTCCAACCATTTGGTACAGGAGGAGGTTTTTCTCCCCCAGTGCTTCGCGTAGGGAAGCTGGCACAAATCAGATCAGCTCAGCATCTCCCGGGGGCTGTGGCTCCTTTGGCTGCTGGGAACGGAGAATTTGTCTCTGCTTGCCTTCAGCCCCAGCCCTGCCGATTGCGACCACCTCCTCTCCTTGGGGGCTACTCTCCACAAACAACTGCTTTTCCTGGGATCTTCAGCAGTCTGTTGACACATTAAAGAAAAACTCAGGTCATACTCTGCATCTTTTTTCTTGGAAAATACCCAGATTATTTTCAGGCTTTTAAAATGGGAACTGTTTTTGTGTTTTTTTTTCCTTCCACTGCTGATAACATTTCCTCCTCCATGCATAGTTCACTTGAGCCTCACAAAACATTCTGTCTGCAAAGTATGAGTAACCACCTTGGAGAAATCCCGTTAATGCCCGTGACAAAGGATTGGCCCTGTTAGTCGGTATCAGTTCTTCCTTCCTCTTTAATTTATTATTTTTAAAATTTTGGTTGTGCTGGGTCTTCGTCGCAGCACATGGACTTCCCTACTTGTTACACACAAGCTTTGCTGCCTCAGAGATATGTGGGATCTTAATTCTCCAACCAGGGATTGAACCTGCGTCCTCTGCGTTAGAAGGTGGAATCTTAATCACTGGACCACCAAGGAAGCCCCTTTATAAAGCCCCTCTTTATAAAGACAGCTGACTTTGAGTTGTCATTTGGTCTTAAAAAAATTCTCTTCCTCTAGAAGGAAAATTGCATTACTGTGTTTGTCTTTCTCCTTTCAAGATCAAGACATTAAGTTGTTGTTTAGTCACTAAGTCATATCCGACTCTTTGTGACCCCATGGACTGTAGCCCACAGATCCCTCTATCCATAGAATTTTCTAGGCAAGAATGCTGGAGAGGGTTGCTATTTCTTCCTACAGGGGATCTTCCTGACCCAAGGATCAAACCCATGTGTCTTGCACCTCCTGCCTTGGCAGGAGGATTCTTTGCCGCTGCACCACCGGGGAAGCCCAGTGTGCATCTACTAACTTAAACTCAGTCCCCCATCCCTTTCCCTCCCTTTCCCTTGGCAGCCACAAGTCTGCTGTCTGTGTCCATGAATTTTATTTTTGTGGATAGGTTCATCTGTGTCATATGTTATATTCCACATATAAGTGATACCATATGGTATTTGTCTTTCTCTTTTGACTTACTTCACTTAGTATGATAATCTCTAGTTGCATCCATGTTGTTGCAAATGGCATTATATTATTCTTTTTATGGTTTAGTAGTATTCCATTTTCTGTGTGTAGCACATCTTCTTTATCCACTCATCTGTCTATGGACATTTAGATTGCTTCCATGTCTTGGCTGTTATAAATAGTGCTGCTGTGAAGAATGAACATAGGCGTGCACATATCTTTTTCAGTTAGTGTTTTGAGGAACCTACATACTGTTCTCCACAGTAGCTGCACCAACATACGTTCCCACCAGCAGTGTAGAGGGCACCCTTTTCTCTACCTCCTCTCCAGCCTTTGTTTTTTTGGTAGACTTTAGTGATGGCCGTTTTGACCAATGTGTGGTCATGCCTCGTGGTAGCTTTGATTTGCATTTCTCTAATGATTAGCAATGTTGAGCATCTTTTCATGTGCCCATTGACCATCTGTAAGACATGGAAGAGTGTTAAATGCATATCACCAAGTAAAAGAAGCCAATCTGAAAAGGTCATATACTGTATGATTCCAACTATTCGACATTCTGGAAAAGGCAGCGTTATGGAGACAGTAAAAAGATAAGTGGTTGCCAGGGATTGGCAGAACACCGAGGATTTCTTTTTTAATTGACTGTTTTTTAAGAGCAGTTTTAGGTTCGCAGCAGAGTTGGGCAGAAGGTACAGAGTTCCCATGGACCCCGTCCTCCCACATGTGTACAGCCTCCCCGCTGTCAGCATCCCCGACAGACTAGACACAGTTGCAAGTCATAAATATATACCGACACACCATCATCACCCAAGGCCCACGGCTGACATCTGGGTTTATTCTTGGTGTTGTACATTCTATGGCTTTGGACAAGTTCTCGGAAGATTTTCTTTGGCAGTGAGACTATTCTATTCGATTCTGTGATGGTGGATACATGTCATTATACATTTGTCCACTCCCCTGCTAGGAGCTACTTTCAAGGTCAATTCTTCCCTAGGTTCAAGAGAGTCACTAATGTGTTACAGGTTTTCCCAAGAGCCACAGTTTACTGTCTGTCCTCCTCTCTGGTGCTCAGGAGCCAGTTTGTAAATAGCACTCTTGACCAAGACAAATAGCATGTTGCTAAAGGTGAGACAAAACAGTGATGGAGCCAAAGACCAGAAAGAAATCTTATTTGATCTGTTTTACTCCTAAAGTCATTGGAAACTAATAATACTGGAAATAACTGACATACACACACACTCACAATATAGAGTAAAATATTGATGCTTTCTAACAAAATCATGTGATGTTTTTTTTTAAAAGTTGAATTCTCCAGGAATGTGAAAATGAATGGTTTGCCCTAAGAATGCCTGCAGAAAATTTGTTCTTCTTAAATAATGCTAGGAGCAGACATATGAGAGCATTTATCCTTTTCTCAATCAAGAATTACATGGAAAACAAAAGTATCATCGTCCGTCAGCCACTTTCCACTTTGGAAAGGAGCTTTTCTGTTGAAATAATGTCATGTCAGAGTGGGATGTGACGTAGTCTGACCTACACCAGGTTTACCTGGGCCCCTTGACCCTGTTCTCCTGTCTGATGTCTCCCTGTTAGAATGGGGATGTCTGTCTTATGCCTGTCACTGTGGTATTTTGGAAGCAGATAACTTGTCTGATTTCACAGGTTCACAGCTGGAGAGGAATTTTTTCCACCAGATGAATCATTACTCAAGTTCTTACCCACACTTGATTTAGATGATATTTAGATGAGATTTTGGACTTCAAGTCAATACTGAAATAGATTAAGACTTTTGGCCTGTTGGGATGGGGTGAATTTATTTTCTTGTAAGAAGGACATGAGTTTGGGGGGACCCAAGGGGTAGGAGGTAATAATGAGCGGAATTGTGTGCCCCACGAAATTCAGAATGACTGTTTGGAGATAGGCCTTTAAAGAGCTGATTAATGGGGCCATGTGGTGTCTTTATAAAAAGGAGAAATTAGGACACCATCACACACCAAGGGAAGACCCTTTGAGGCCACAGCAAGAAGGCAGCCACCTGCAGGCCACAGCGAGAGTCCTCAGAAGAAACCAGCCCTGCCTGGTGACCCTAAGCCAAAACCCAATTTCTTGTCTTTTCCAGCCTCTAGAGGCTCCATGTGTTCCTTGAGGTCCCCCTCCCATCTTCAAAGCCAGCCAGTATTTGCAGCATCTTCAGATTTCCGCTGTGACACCAACTCTCCCACCTCCTTCAGCATCACGGTCCAGCTTGAGCAGCTCAGACATGTAACCCAGCAGGCAGAAAGAGAGGTCACTTCATGCTTTGTGAGGGCTGATGTAAAACCGTGCATAGTCATTCAGTCCGACTCTTTTGAGACCCTGTGCATGGGATTCTCCAGGCAAGAATACTGGAGTGGGTTGCCGTTCCCAACTCCAGGGGATCTTCCCGACCCAGGGATTGAATCCAGGATGCCTCAGTTGCAGGGGGATTCTTTATTGCTTGAGCCAGCAGGGATGCCCACAATGTAAAAGCAGTAGAGCACCGTTAGACTTTTTAATAAGTTGTTTATTTACTTTATTTTTGGCAGCACTGGGTCTTCACTGCTGTGTGTAGGCTTTCTCTAGTTGCCAAGCACAGGGTCTGGGGCACAAGCATCATTCCTCCATGGCGTGAGAGAGCTTGAACTTCACATTCCTGGACCAGGAATGGAAGCCATGTCCCCTGTATTGGCAGGTGGATTCTTAAACACTGAACCACCAGGGAAGCTGCTCTATTAGACTTTTTAATACTTGTTTCTGTTGATTAAGACTTTGGACTCCATTTGAAAGGGCCAAAGAAAAACTTAGGGAGTGTCTGAGCTGGAGGATCACAGGGAAGATGAATCTCTTGTTCATTCTGCACCAGTTTGTCAAGCGCTCTTAAATATAACAGCTGCTCTGCCAACCTTGTCTAGTTTTTTGGCTTTAGCAGGGACCAGAGAAGAAGGGCAGTCACCAGGGGACTGGTACCCAGCAGGCTCCAGCATCATTCACACTCAGTGTGTTCCTCCTAAGGACCTTTTGTCTCTCAAATCTACTCCACTACATACCATGCTGAACGGTTCTTACCCTGTGCCTGGTTAGCATCAGTGTGATTAGTTGTTATTAGATCAGGCAGATGACATCAGGCAATCAAGACGTAAGCTGAGTAATTGAGACCCAGACTGTAAAATGCACCAGGCTTGACCACAACTGTATTGGATTTGCAGAGTGGCTCTAGCAGGAGCAGGAGTGGCCCTGCCCCCGCTCAGAGGGCCGAGGGGCCGTGTTCCCCCTGAAGGCGCGGAGCTGAAGTGGTCCGGTCCGTGCGACCGCACCTGACTCTCTGCCACTGCCCTCGGGTGGCCCAGACGTCCTCTCCATCCCGGAATGACTAAGCGCGAGCAAAGGTTGCCGTGAGGCTAAAACAGCACTTGGGCTTCCGTATATACATACAGAATGCACCCTCTGCCACTTTAGCAGTTGTGAATCTTGGGGTGATTTAGTGATCCTTTGTTTTGAAGCAGATGTGACCTACATTATTGCGGGGGGGGGGGAAGGGTGAGGGATGAGGTACTCCAAAATGTGCACTCAGCGCATGATATCTTTGTGACAGTTCTGAACCAATTTATCCAAAAGCTGAGGAGAAGGGATCCTAGATGATGACTCTGAATGTCGGGAGAGCCTCTCCCCAATTTTCACGCAGAAGCATTGTCACCTGTGAGTCAAGCATCAGACAGGATCTCAGGGTGACAAAGTGACTTCCTTACATTCTACCTGTAGCCCCTTTAACCTGTGGGGATTGGATCAGAGAGCAAATCTATGTGAAGACACCATGTGGGACCAGAAATTGTGGCTCCAGCCCCAGGCATGGCTGTTAACCCAGGGTTATTCTGGGGCTCTCACCAGTGATCCTATTCTTTCCTGAGCACCCCTGAGACTCAGCAGGCTGACCCCACTGGTCTGTGCCCAGAAATGTCATCCAGACATGAATACAGCTTCTCAAGGTGGAATCCTTGCTGTAATTGATGCCTCCTTGTATTGGGTTTTCCAAATAGAATTTCTTAAGTTAGTAGTAAAAAATTTTATTGACTTCTAGTTGATTTACAAGCTTGTGTTAATTTCTGTTATACAGCAAAGCAAATCAGTTTTACATATACACTCTTTTTTCATATTCTTTTCCATTATGGTTTATCACAGAATATTAAATATCATTCCATGTGCTAGACAGTGGGACCTTGTTGTTTATCCATTCTATATATAATGCTATAATTTGCATTTACTAATCCCAAACTCCCAATCCTTCCCTCCCCCAGCCCTTGGCAACCACAAGTCTCTTGCCTATATCTGTGAGTCTGATTCTGTTTCGTAGATACATTTGTTTGTATTGTATTTTAGATTCCACATGTAAGTGATACCATATGGTATTTGTCTTTCTCTTCCTAACTTACTTTGCTTAGTATAATAGTCTCTAGGTTCATCCATGTTGGTGCAAATGGCATTCTTTCATTCTTTTTAATGGCTAAGTGCTATTCCATTTCAGCTGTGTACCACAACTTCTTTATCCATTCATCTGTTAGTGGACATTTAGGCTGATTCCATGTCTTGGCTATTGTAAATAGTACTGCTATGAATATAGCAGTGCATGTATCTTTTTGAATTAGAGTCTTATCCCAGTATATGCCCAGCAGTGGGATTGCTGGATCATGTATCAGCTCTATTTTTAGTTTTTTGAGGAGCCTCCATGTTGTTTTTCATAATGGCTGGCCCAGTTTACATTCCCGCCAACTGTGTAAGAGAATTCTCTTATCTCCACACCTGCTCCAACATTTATTATTTGTAGACTTTTTAATGATGGCCAGTCTGACCAGTGTTAAGTGATACTTCATTGTAGTTTTTATTTGCATTTCTTTGTTAGCTATGATGAGTTCTTTTCATGTGCTTATTGGCCATCTGTATGTCCTTTTAGAGAAATGTCTATTTAGGGTTTTTGCTCATTTTCCCATTAGGTTGTTTGTTTTTTTGTTGTTGAATTGTGTGAGCTGTTTGTGTATTTGGTGGTAAAACCCTGTTGGTCGCATCATTTGCAAGTATTTTCTCCATTTGATAGGTTGTCTTTTCCTTTTGTGTATGGTTTGTTTGTTTGTTTGTTTGTTTGGCTATGCAAAAGCTTGTAACTTTGATTGGGTCCCATTTGTTTATTTTTCCTTTTATTTCTATCGCCTTGGGAGACAGACCTAAGAAAACATTGGTATGATTTATGTCAAAGAATGTTTCATCTCTGTTTTCTTCTAGGAATCTTGTGGTGTCATGTCTTACATTTAAGTCTTTAAGCCATTTTGAGTTTATTTTTGTTTATGATGTGAGGAAGTTTTCTACCTCATTGATTTACATGCAGATGTGTAACTTTTCCAACCCCACTTGCTGAAGGAATGTCTTTTCCCCATCATATATTCTTGCCTCCTTTGTTAAAAATTAATTTACTGTAGGTGTGTAAGTTCATTTCTGGTCTCTGTATGCTGTTCCATTGGTCCATTTGTCTGTTTTTATGCCAGTACCATGCTGTTTTGATTACTGTAGCACTGTAATATTGTCTGAAGTCTGGGAGGGTCATGCCTTCAACTTTGTTCTTTTTCCTTAGGATCGCTTTGGCAATTCTGGGCCTTTTATGGTTCCATATAAATCTTAGGATTATTTGCCATGAAAAATGTCATGGATAATGTGATGGGGGTCACGTTAACTCTATAGATTGGAAAGTGTGGCCATTTTAACAATACTGACTCTTCCTCTTTCCATTTCTTTGGGTCATCTTAAGTTTCTCTTATTAATGTTGTGTAGTTCTCAGCACTAAGTTAGTACTTTTGTCTCAAGACTCAAAAATCTTTTCAAGGCCACAGTGTTTCCCTTGCACAGTCTACAGACTTCTACTGAAACACTTATCTGGTGCCCCAGCGGTAAAGAATCTACCAGCAATGCAGGAGACCACCTGCCAATGCAGATGTGCATTCAATCCCTGGGTTGGGAAGGTTCCCTGGAGAAGAAAATGGCAACCCGCTCCAGTGTTCTTGCCTGGAGAAGCTCACGGACAGAGGAGCCTGGCGGGCTATATTCCATGGGATCACAAGAGTTGGACACGACTTAGTGACTAAACCACCACCATTGGTTAGGGAGATGCAAAGCTGCTGTGACAGAGAGCCCCAGAAAGACAGTGATATAAAATGCATAGAACTATTTCTCTCCATCACCTCCAAGGCCAGAGGTGAGCAGCCCAGCTGGACGGGGCAGCTGAGCTGTAAGTGCATATCAGAGACACAGGCTCTTTATAATCTCTTTCCCTCTCCTGCCCCAGGACTGTAGTCCTCAGTCTCTCCTGAGCACCTCAACCCCCTGAAGGGCTGATTAAACCATTTTCCACTCCCACTCAGCAGGTCTGAGTAGGGCTTGAGAATTTGCATTTCTGACAAGCTTCCAGGTGATCCTGAGGCTGTTGGTCCAGGGATCCTGCTTGGGGAACCACTGCTCAGTGGCCTGTCTTCGCCTGCCCTGGATGATTGCCAACACATCCATGGTCCAGATTATGGAGTGGGGAAGGTGTGTGGAGGCACACACACACACTCACACACACGCACATAGTATTCTAAGGCCCAGGTGGGAAGTGGCACCCTATATTTCCACTCATTTTCCACTGGTGAGAAAACTCACAAAGCCATGCCTACCTGCCAGGGATGCTGGAGAAAGTTGAGTTCATGGCCATGTCAATGAAAATAACCAATAAACAATCTATAATAGGAATAGAAAAGAATTCTGTTGAAGCCATACTGAAGATATAGCCCAGAAGACAGCCTCTCAAGGTATTCAGCACAGTTTTATATCTTGTCAGAACAAAGAACATTAAACAAGTTAGAGATACATTCCTTCAAACTTTAAAAAACAAATAGACCAGCAAGGCAGCATGACCTTGGCACCTGGGAAGAGAGTCTGTTATCAAAGGAGTCCCAGCCTTAATGTCCCAGAAAGAGGGGCATTTCATCTTTATTTTTCACATGGTCAGTGTGCCTTTTTCTTTAATTATTAAAGCAGATGTTTGGGGTCTTCCCTGGAAGTCTGCTGGTTAAGACTCCAAGCTCCCAATACAGGGGGCAGAGGTTTGATCCCTGGTCAGGGAACTAAGATGCTGCATGCTGCATGGCATGGCCTAAAAATAAATAAAATAAAAATAACAAAAATGCAATGAAAAAAATAAAGGGGCCAGGAAATACAAGAGGATACTTAAACATTTGGGGGGGGATTTTTTTTTAAAGCAGCTGTACAATGTAGGTTTGATCAGCCACAAACAGGCTATTTTAGCTAATCTAAAATTCAAGTCATGCATGTATGTAAGCCAGAATGACCTCCCCATACCTCAGTATGTGAGCATCTGTTTTATCAGCCACCATTATATTCTTATGAGAAAAGGGGAGAGTGGATTCTGTTGGATGCTCGCGTACACCTGTGACCCTACAGCCCCGGCTCAGTTATTCTCCTCCAGCCCCTGCGCTCTCTGTGGGGACAGGCCGGCCCCGTGCCCCCTGGCCTCAGGGTCTTTCACAGAAACCCACACATATGCTGCAGTCCGCATCAAGTCCTCTGGTTCTACACCCACTGAGAAACATACGCTGCCGCGTGTGGGAAGACACCCGTCAGCCCTGTGCTTGGAACCACCTGTGACGCCCCCCACGGGGACCGTGACCCCTGCTCCTCAAGGCCCAGCACTGCCGTCTGCAAATGCCTGTGACTGCAGTTACCCTCGGAGAAGGCAATGGCACCCACCCCAGTGCTCTGCCTGGAAAATCCCATGGACGGAGGAGCCTGGTGGGCTGCCGTCCATGGGGTGGCGAAGAGTCGGACACGGCTGAGCGACTTCACTTTCACTTTTCACTTGAATGCTTTGGAGAAGGAAATGGCAACCCACTCCAGTACTCTTGCCCGGAGAATCCCAGGGACGGGGGAGCCTGGTGGGCTGCCGTCTATGGGGTCACACAGAGTCGGACACAACTGAAGTGACTTAGCAGCAGCAGCAGCAGTTACCCTGCTTCACATCCAGGAGCAAAATTAGCTCCATTTAGGATCTGAAACAACAGCAGCCATGGGTAATTAACATTGCTGCTCTGAAGCCCGGATTTGCTCTTGCCCAGGCAAGAGTCATGTCCACCTGGACCTGGGTTGTGTTGGCTCTGGGAACCCAGGCATCCGTGTACCTCTGTGCACCAGGGGCTCCTCCCAGCCCACGGCCACCTGGTAGATCTTCCCAGGCCCCCACAGTGAGACCACAGCATTTTGTTTAGAGATGAGTATATTTTCTTCAGGGGGAGAAAAAAGCTTTGGAAAACATCACGGTAACATTT